CACCAGTGTTGGTTGTCCTGGCCCTTGCTGTCTCTCCTAGTTCTGTGTCAGTGTATTTATTTCTCAGACCTGCAACGTATACTGGGCAGGTGGGGACTAGAGACTTACTGCAGGAGTCTCTAGCAGCCAGCCCTCTTGAAGGAAGTTGCAACTGACTAGACATGAGACTTCTGAGGAAAGGCCTACAGGGGCTGGGGTACAGAAAAATGGTTCAAAGGTTGAATCCCCTGAGACTTATAGAGTTCAGTGGGTGCCCAGACTCTTCTGTCTTCTCCTCAGGGAGGATGTTCCACTTCATCCTTTATCCCGACCAGCAGTTTCAACCTAGGTCTTCAGTAGGAGTTGGGTAAGAGATAGCTGAGAAGAAAACTAGAAAGATCTGCTTTCCCCCTGGGGTGCCAGTTACAGCATCAGACTGCCCAGTTCAGTGAAATGAGGTGGGCTTCATTGAGCCTGATGGGAAGGTGATTCAGGAGTTCAAAGGCTTAACCAAAGATCCTTCGGAAAAAGTCATTGGCCATAGACCTGGAAGGAAGCCAGTTAATTTCCGGTGATTGCGGCACATACTGTTTATTCCTGGTCATTGAGTGTCAAAGGAAGAAGTTATGTCAAGAATAAAAAGGAACAAAGAACTTACCATCCCAACAGGTATGTGGTAATCACGCAAACAGTAAGGACTTTCTCCAACAGCATGGCTAGTAATTTCTGGAAACTAATGGGCTAAAAATATTGTGTTAAGTGCAAAGATGTATGAGAACCCCAAGCATGCATATTATTTGGATGTATAAGCCTTGTTACAATTTGCACAAAATTCCCAGAAGTTTTGCATACCAGGATCCTGGTGCCAAGTAATTTCTGACCATTTGGATTTGAGCGATTATCTGTGGTGATTAAACAGATATATCCTTTGCTTTATATATAATTTCACCCTGCCTATATCATCTTGATAATTCATGTGGCTATGAATCATGAAAGCCAGACCATTAGTGCATTCTGAGCTACTGAATTTTCTAGAACCTTAGAAGGAAGGAAACATATTATAAAAGAATGCATTTTTCAAAGAGCAACATGGTGTCACATCCTTCCCAGTGAGGTAGACCACCTGAGGAAAGAAGTGCTCAGCTAGTTTGTCTTTTTTATTTTCAAAGTTAGAGTCCAATATGTACTTACTCCTTGCCTTACTCTTCTTAGGATTTAAGAGATAGCAAACTCAGAAGAAATATTTTTCAAGTTCATTTAGAATCTATGATTTTTTTCATACTTCATTGCAGAATCTTGAATGCATTTTTTGGATTCATCAACTTATTTCTTATTTTTCAAATATAGAGGCCAAAATTGTAAAGTGCTTCCTGAATGTGTTAACCCTGTTCTTTAAGTCTTCATATCTTTCAGGGAAAGGACAATTTTCCTATCCAGGAGAAAATAATCCTTCATCTGCCTTAGAGTTCAATCCCTGAAAGGTACCAAGGTCAGCAAAATCAAAGACGAGGTCACACAAAAAGGGATTTGGAAAAAATACCATAGCAAACATAAACATTTCCAGAAAGTATCCTCCTCTTAGACACGTCCCTTCTCTGGGAAGCTGTCCTTGGAACCACCTTCTCTGAGTTGACTCAGAAAACAACCATGTGAAGTCATGATCATTTCATAGGACGCAGTCTATACTCTTAGAGAAGAATCAACCTGGACATTATTTGATTGAAATTGAATGTCTTTTGCAATATCTCCCCTTACTTCATTTTCTCAAGACTTACAAAATGCTTCTGTGACTTTTTAGCTTCTTACACCTTGTGACCGAGGTAGCAAGTACCATTTCCTGGACTCACACTCTATCCATTTACTAGGAGTGGACTACAGTTAGTTCTCATCTCCAACCCCTGTCTCTTAGGCCCACTAACCAATCAGGTTTACACAAAGACCTAGGGTTAGCTGTTGATAAATTCATCTGATTAAGGCATCCATGGTGGAAACCACACATACCCAAGAGTTATATATCTTTAAAATCATCTGGCTTCATACACATTGCATTATCTCCCACCCCAGTTGTTGATGTAGAGACTAATCTGGGGTCGCAGTGCTCATTGTTTAATAAAACATTGTAAGATACATGACTGATGGCTGTACCCTCCCTACCCTGCTTATTTCATTATGAAAGTGACGATCTGTGGAAAATCTGTGTTTCACTGAATGTCAGGTACAGGTCACCAGGGACACCTGAGGGAAACCGTTGCCGCTTGTCAATGTTCATTCATGCACAACCACAAGGACATATTCTGTCATGTGAGGAGCTAGTGTGGGCGACTGCACACACTGCAGAGCTATGGGGACATTGTGTTCACATCAAAATGTCTACGTCAAAGAGGGTGTTAATGTGTTTGAACAGATCTGTCAATGTTACTCTTCAAGAAGGTTGATACAAGTACTCCTACAAACTTTCCTTTGCCCAATTCATTTTAGTATATCTTTGCCGAACTGTTATGTTGTAATGTAACATAGATATAAAAATAGGATACAATTATATAACCCTGACAGCGCATTGAATCTTGAAACTCAATGTCATAGGCTTAAAGTACAGTGGGTGTAGTGAAAGTCCTGTCCATGAGGCTTGAAGTCTTTCCTGCCTTCTCCCTTGTGTCCCCATTCTGTTCAGAGTGCCACCTAAAACATATTAGACATTCCATAACTATTTTTGACAAATGAATGAGTTTACAAATTCTACTATTTACTGAATCCCTTCTCTATGAAGGCTTCATGGACTCTGATTTGGGTTTCATTCTCCCACTGGTTCTGGGTACCTACCCAGAGCCCTCTGAAGGGTCTTTACCAGTCAGCTACCTCTTAAGAGCTCCAACTCTTGAGGTTGAAGCCCGTCCTCCATGGACCTCTTCCTAATAAACAGACTATTTATGATTGGGATGCTCCATTTGACTTGGACATTTATTCCCGGTCTACATCTGTGTCCTTCTGTCTCACCATCACAGTTTGAACTTGGGTGTGGAGCGCACTGTCTGGGTGTTAAAGCCTGTGCAGATATTCACCTTGTAGACCTGTCACTGTGAGGACAGTCCCTCCTATCCTGACCCATCACTTCCGGAAGTGCATGCTATGGATGCTCCAGACAACCTCTGTGGCAGGCCTCTGAGATGTAAACAGCAAAAGATGGGGAAAAGACAATCGGAGGAAAGTAGAGAGAAATGCATTTTCATCTTCTATAAGGAAAATTTTTAATAGACTTATCAGATTACCAAAAAAATTCAAATACAGATTGCATGAGTGCCAGAAGAACAGTAAATTAAAGTTCCATATTCATAAAAAGATTCACATATACAATATCCAGGGCAGTGTTCCTTTCCTTCAATCCACATTTGGAAGGACATGACACATTTTCCCCCTCAAATTTTAAAGGATTTAACTATATTTTGAAAGCCTTACAACCTCAATAAGTCAATGGTTTTACTTTTAAGTAGGAAAATCAGTTAATATTCATACAATATACAGAAGCTCAGATAAAAAGCACACTGGAAAAAGTGTACAGAATATTTAAATCATACCCAGTTATGAACTTCAGCTCTAAGCCTAATAAGAAGTGCAACTTCTGGGAATTTTCTTTACCTCCCTGAAGAAAAAATTTCATCTATAAATAAGGACTAAAAGTTTTACTTTGCTTGTATACAAACATATTTGGTATATGCACATATATTCAGTATGCATAATATATGTACTCTATAGTATTATTGTGAGATGCGTATTCACCTAAGTAATTTTTATATGTCTTAAAACATAGATTGGTTCTTTTCAACATATATCTTGCAGCACAGGTACCTGGTCATAGCATGCCATGGAACCTGTTGAATGACTCATTACATGAGCTCCTGTGCTGCAGTGTTCTATGAGGAGGACCATGCAGATCAGGAAAACAAGGCTGGTGCACTGAACATGCTTCCCTTACATGGACACCAAATGGCTCAGTCAGCACTGGGCTCCAGGCAGTTGTGACATAAGATCCCACTTTAGAATTTTCAAGTGAGGCTGCTAAGCTTGTGTCACCCTTTATGGAATCCACCATCATTTTCTTATCAGTGGTAGCACCTGCCAACCTCTGGTCTCTGTCTGTTGACGACTCTATGAGTGATGCTGTTTAATTTACCTTTCCTATTCCACGGACCCCTCTTGCTTCAAAATGTGCACTCCAAGGAGTTGAAATTAGTTAAAGATAATCAGAGCAACCCATATTTGGGTAGCACAGATCTAATCAGGATAAAAAACATTTTAAAAAACATTCCAGCAGTTTTGATGAGAGAGTGGTTCAAAGTACAATGGATGTTTGGTATCTTTCTCCACCTAGGGTATAAACCTTTCTCCTGTGTTTGGAAAATGAGTCTGGAGGAAGCTAGATCTTCTGGCCTGGTTAATGAATGTGTTGCTTTGAAAAGGCTGGGTTGTGAGGTTATGAACATTTTTTTTTTTTTTACTGTCTTCCCTTACAGCTTTATGTGGTACTTGGGAGAGACCCAGAAATATCCCTAAAAAGTTTAGCATAAATTCAAATCTTTGAGAACAAAATTGATTTTAAATGCTAACCACTTAAGTCATTTCTCAAGTGAAATCTTTAGTGGGGAAATAATTACCCAATCAACTTTACTTTGGTCAGTTCTTGACTTTCACATGCCTGATTTGACTTCCCAATATATAGTTATCTGCAAAATTGTACTGAGGGTGCACAAAGTCACCTCCATGACACTGCTGCCCATGCAGACATGTGTGAGGTAGAAATGAGCCAGTGAACATAGGGTGTGTGAGTGTGTACATTCCCATGTCTGTACTAAGGCTCCTCTGTGACTTAGGAACATAACGGGACCATGACCCAAGCCCAGACCACCACAGGGTGCTGTGGATGAACTGCTCTTCCATCTCAGAGCAGCGAGCAGATGCCCAATGGAAAGACCCTGGATTGGTAGTTTCAAAACTCACCAAGGAGTTGATTGTGTTACATTTCTTTGCTTCTTTTGGGTCTGAGTGTTCTCACGGCAGTAACATGTTTGCCCTTCATACTTTAAGATTTTATCAGAATCAAATGAGCAGTAATACTCAATGACATGTCACGAAAGCACAAAGTGCTTCGTGATTATAAGTTTTCATAGTAATTCTAATTAAATGTGTGATGCCTTTGAAATGTCTTCCAGGCAAGTCTGCATGATGAATCCTATTTTTTGAAGTTCTGTCATCTTCTCCTGGATGCATCTGCAGCAAAGATGAGTCATGAGTATTATACTATTCATCAGAGGAATAACAAGCACTTGTAGGATCTACTATAAATACTCATCCTTTGGGGGACCTAGAACAAATCAGCACATGGCTTCAAACAGGAGCCTTCTGGGGCAATGTTTTCTGTCTGTTTCTTCCTCCCTATCTTTCCCCATTCCTTTCCTCCATGATTTTCTAGCTGTTTCTATTCCTCGTGGCCTTGGCTGGCATTCTACCTGAGGACTGGCTTTAAAATGGTGTCTTATTTTGTAATTTTATTAAACTCCCCTGCCATTAAAATACTCTTTGCCACATTCTCAAAAGAGATGAAGTAACTAGTTCAATAACCTGGTAAATATTAAACTTTCAAACAAATTTCTGTTATTCACCTGAACTGAATAAGAAACTAATGGCGATCTTGACATTGATACCATCATATCTTATGACATTCTCCTTACTTAGAAACTTCAGAGCTTTTCCCCAGGGGTGAGAAATGGAAAGATCACAATTTTGGCTAGCAGAGTCTTGTATGAATTAAAATCTGGGTTAAAAATTGATTAGTTGTCAACATTTAAAAATATGAAGATGTAAAATTACAGTTTTCTGACTTCTCTTGAAATGTCAGGACGTGAAGCAACATTGGCTCCTCCACAGCAAGAGCAGGAGCAGCCAAGATGCGGTTGGCAACTGCGGAAGTGGAGGCTGTGTTCGGCGCACCCAGCTTCTATCCTGTTCCACTTTGTTCACTTATGTCACATGTCTGGCCCCGATAGGATCTGAATTTGTGACCCTTGTCCAACCCATAGAACTCATTAAATCCTATCCCATAACCAGCTAGTCATGGGCGATGTCATGGACAGATGGCAGAGGGAGAACATATGTTCTTGATCTGCTTCTCTTATTCCATTAACCATTTTTCCAGAATTCTAAACAGTCTAATCATATGTCACAAACCATAGCTGGAGCATCGGTTTATAAGGGGATTATCTAGACTTGCGTTAAACTGTTTATCCTTAAATGTCAAGCGAAAACTGCTTTGACGTTTGATCTGCCTCTCAAGGTAAGAATTTTACCAACTTAGTAAATGTGAATTCTCTTCCTGTTCCAAACTCCATGCCTGATACAGTTCTGTCCTGTCAAAGCAGTGGAAAGAGTATCTCCAGTATGGGTTTTTTACAACCTCGTTCATAGATGGGTTGCATAGGAGTGCTATACCTATTAAAGACAAGGAGAGGGGCTTAGAGACTTGAACATGGCAGCAAGTTGAAGCTTCTAGAATTTTCTGAAGGCTTCTCAACACCCTTTCTTCCTTCTCCAAGTTTGAGGGGAAGAAAGTCTACATAAATAAACTTATGATAAAGAAAAATGGAGTCATGTTAATAGCAGGAGGCAATTTAGGCAGAAGAGTATAAAATATATTGTTTGGAAACAAGCACTCTCTGTTTTTCTTTTCAACTTCCAGAATCCCTTTTTTCTTAGATGAGAGAATTAATATCTAGGTCCTGGGATAAAACTGTGGCCCTACAGAGAGGGGCCCAAGGAGCCTGCCTGGTATATTTTGGTGAAAGTTGTAGATGAACGGCCCAAAGGAGTTGTCATGATTCCTTGGGGTCTGGAACAGGTTATTGAGCTCCAAGTTTCTTATAGAGAAACTGGGGTTAAAACACTTCTATGTCTTCCAAAAACAAGGGACGCTTTCAAGTGTGGCCATTGCCCTGCAGGTGAGCAGTCAAATCACGGAGTTCAAAGACAGGAAATAGCTTCACATTCCTCATAGAAGGCCTCTTATGTGTCTGATTTTGAGCAAGGCCTGGGAAGCCTCATCAACACCAACCAACCTAATCATCACCAAGCAGCTATTCAGTTATCTGCAATGGATGGGGCTGTAGGGACAGCTGGCAAACCAAAAAGCATCAAAGAGCATTTGATGGGAGACACAGACAAACGCCTCCTGCCCAACTAGTGATTCAAACTCTCTCTCTCTCTCTCAGGAGCCATGGCACCTGCTGAGCTCTCGAGTCAGTGATACATCATGAACAATAATGTCAGAATTGGCACCAAGAGCATGCTATGGAGATGCCAACCCTCGCTTGGCATTTCTCATTTGAGTCAGAGTGAATTTAGTGTAGTTAGGAAGACAAGGATGGATACAGATAACTGCAGTGCTAGTCACAGGGAAATAACAAATGTGTGGCATGAGGGAAGTTACTTTTTCTTCTTGACAAACTCGCAGATGAAGTACATGGTAAGATGGCATTCCGTGTCATTCCACCGGCCTGAGCTCAGCATCTCCACACAGTCCTCGTGCCCATAGGGGTCACTGGGCTCCCCCTTCTGCCAGTTGCTGTAGTTCTGCAGTGGGGTGTTGTCCGTGAACACATACTGGCCCTCCTTCTCGAGGTCGTTCACCCCAATGAACACGCGGAAGAAGCCACTCTTGGCCACATAGTCAGCGATGAGGCTGTTGACGGCTTCATCTTTGGGCATGGCTAGCATTCCACCCCGAATCCTGCAGTGGGTCAGGGATTCCCTGTAGCTCTTCTCCTCCTGCACGATGTAGTAGAACTTCTCTTCAGTTTCCCTAATCCCTGCTATGACTACAGGGAGGAAAAAAAGAGTATCGTCATGTATCTTGAAAAGAGAAGGTAGATATATCATTGTCAGATTGAAATTCATGCATTCAGCATTCAAGAATTGTCTTGCAAGGCCCTGTGAAGAGGTAGATACTGATTTAACTTTTTCTCTGACTTCCTAGTGATCATGTGGAGAACCCACGTCTTCCGTTGGAGCTCACTTCTCCGCCTTCTCAGCCCCCCACACAGGTGTGCCACTAGGTTGACAAAGACTGGTCATCTGAACTGCCACCAGATCATCCCATACCGCCCTTCCCCACCTCCTTTATGTCACAGCCATACTTGTCCCCTTCTCTCTTCCGCATCTATGCCTGGGAAGTCATCTTACTGCTTCTCTCCTTGTCAAACTCCTACTTACTTTTAGAGCTCAGTGGAACTGATTTCTCTGAAAAGAAGTCTTTCAAACCCCTCAGCAGGGGCTCGTGCATTCTTCCCTCCATCTGCACTGCCCTTTCCACTTCTTCTACAGCACCCAGAACAATCTACTCCAGGGTTTCTTTGTGAGTCTCTTCTACTCAGCTGTGAGTGTCTGGAGGACAATGCCTATATCTTTGACACTTTTTAACCCCAGTGACTGGAACATTCCAAGGGGCAGCAGATGTTTATTGAACTGATATTCTAATAATTCAGAAGTGTGTCCACTTAGAATCAAATTTCTGGGACATGAACATATGGGCTGAGATTGTCCATACTTCATCTCAGCTACAAGAGGAAAACTGAGTCACTACCTGAGCTTCAGGGCAGAAGTAGGGATTCAGCATCATTCTAAGTGCATAAAATGGAATGTATGCCTTGGCTTTAGAGGCATCTACTTGTACACCTTAGCATCCATAACTTTCATTCACAAATAAATCCATGACTACTCTGGTGTTAAGAACTATTGGTCTATGCTCTACCCTTGGGATCCGGTTCATTCATGATGGTTGAACTTATATCAGACATAGAATCTTTATTATGGGCTACAACCAGAGCTGTTATTAAGGTGATTAGCTAACATCAAGTATTTCCTATGCCTCTAGTATTGCAAGATGACTATGGACATCAGATGGCATCTGTGTGTTTCTGTTAATATGCAACATAAATACCTGGATTACGATAAATAAAATACAAAGTGTGGAAACCTTGAGACCATAATGTTAAGTGAAGTAAATCAGACACACAAGCTTAAATATCACATGGTTTCTCTTATGTGAAAAATTCAAAACTAAATAAAGAGAAAAATAAAAGATAGTAGGTAATAGATTTTTTCAAATGGGAAGGGACCAGGAGAAAGAGGGAGGAGGAAGGAGGGGAAGGGAAAGGAACATAAAAAGGATGAAGATGTGTGATGTACATGTTCCAACCTCCAAGGGGGAATGTGATCACTATGTACAGGGAGCATGGGCTGGTAAAAAATAAAAATTGAGGAAAAAATATTTAAAAACATGAAACTAGTTGTAATTGTTAACTGTAATATTTCCCTCAGTAACACTGTTCTCAGAAAAGAATACATAAGTCCTTTCCACTGTAAGGGATTTCTTGTTAACTATTACAGGGAGATGGAAAAGAGATAAAAATTGATCAGTACAGGAAGTTTCAAAACTTAGAGAAATATGTAAGGTTTGTACAGATTTGTACTATGGGTAGAGGAGTCAGGTAAGCTTGCATTCTGCTTTACTGATCATTAGATCTGTAACTATGGGCAAGATTTCTCTAAGCTTCAGTTTAATCACTGCATTACATTACAATTATATAAAGACTCTGTGCCTTGATGCTAATAGTTGTGCACTGTCTCAACTACTCAAGAAAGTAGCTATGCTATTATTACTTCTGTTTTCTGAGATGCTATTCCTATTTGACTCTTGCTATGTCTTTTTATTCTTAAGATATGGCTTGCCGCATTCTACTTTTTTCTCTTCTCTTTGGAGAAACCCCTTTCCAATTGATGGCAATGCCCAAGTGCACAAATTTATGTAGTGGACTGGAATTGTCCTGGTGTTGGGTGGATAATTAGCATTTTGAGCAGCCTCAAAACTGGTGACACCAGTAGGTCTTTTCCCAACACAACGTGTTGTCTGCTAGGAAATACAGTGCTGAAAGTGACACAAATCTGTAGACACAAGGTATGCGGTATGAAGCAAAAGAGAAAATGTTCACCATTCTTGACGAATTTCATAGATGACTTGAGCCGGGCCACACTAATATCCAGTTGTCCAACAACTTTCCGGTATCTCCCACAATCACAGACAGTACCTGGGAAATGACAGAAACCGTGGATTCACAGAGAAGTACAAACACACCAGCTAGAGTGGCTGCTGTCTTCCCAGCAGTTACAGTACTGTCCTTTTCTAGACTTGTGAGGCCTCTCTGTGAGTGGCTATGCATTTGACCTTTTATTTAAAACAAACTTTCCAATTTACATGATGTTTAGGAATTCAGAAAATATCTTTTTAAATGTTAGGAATGAGTTAGAAACAAATCTAAACTAGATTTTTAAAAGGAAGAATAAATATGACACTCCACCGCACACACATTGTGGAGCATTTGGCATTTTGTTGAACACAGAACTTGCCTGCTCCATCTCAGAATAACATTTTTACAGCTTCCTTAAAATGTATTTGCAGCAGGCCTCTCTTCTGTTCCTGCATTATTCAGTAGCTCACACTGTTCTCCCAAGATAGGAGGAACTTCAGGATTCGATCAAATGCTAATTCTGATTATCCATGGGAAGTATACTTGCATGCTTCAAGGGCTACATTCATTTCCTGTAAAGAGATCCAACTTACAATTTTAAAAGCCAGCTGTCCCATTTATGGGTTAACTGTAATTTTAATTTGTTATTCATTCCTCTTTGCTCACCTACCTTTTCCACTATATATTGATATTATTGTGAGAGAGAAGCAATTATAAGAAAAGTGTTATAAATTTCAGACAATTCCCTTTTTCTATTTAATATCTGGTTCATGTAAACACTAGTTTTGGCTTTTTTTTTTCTTGGTAACATGAAAAGTAAAAAGAAATTTATTAGCCAAAGGGAAAAAAATCTGTGGCTAAATTTTATTCACGTTCATAGTTAATAGAAGGCATGTGCTTTGGATTCGTCTTCCATACACCCCCATGGATAGAAACAATTGAACTTCCTAAGAACAATCTACCTTCCTTCCTTATACAAAACACTGGAAATATAACTCACTCAGTACCCAGGGGCACCTGCCTGGCCACTGAGAGCTCCTTCTGTAACTAGGGGTCTCTGCAGGTCGGGGTAGCTTGCTTCTGTTAGTCTGCAGGTCAGGGTTTGGTTGAGATGCTAGTGGAACCCCAGGCTTGGCATGCTGATGTAAGTCCTGCTGCAGTATGCCCTGGTGCCAGGAATGATGACTGCTTCCTGTGGTGTAGGGTTCGCTTCCCACCCAAGCAAGATGGGAATGGAATGTCTCCACCTCTCCTTCCCCAGGGCTTGGAAAGTCACCAGCAGATGGAGAGAAAAGTTCCCTTCTTTCCTTTCCTCTGGCCCAGGGAAAATAAGGCTAGGCACACTGAAAAGAGTTTTGTTCTTCTGTAAAAACTGTATTTATTTTTGAGATGAACACATTGGGAGTGATGCTAGAAATCAAAGAGAAAAGTGGGCACACCATACCTGCCTTGCCTTTCATTCCAGGTATCCCAAGCAAACCCTTCTCTCCTTTGTCACCTGAAGAAAAATAATAGAAACAACTACAAAAAGGCACAACGAAAGAAAAAGGGAAATTATTTTAAGCAGACCATATCCCATACATCCAAAATCAGAGGAAACATTTTTCCAAATTTCATTTCTGATATAATATCCCTTGGTTTTATACAAATAATTTTCTTTGGGGATGGCTGCACAGGTAGAAATAATCAAGCGAGTCACAATTTAATTAGATTTAATATAGAATTCTAGCAGGATGTATAAGGAACATTTGAGTTTGTAATACCTGTCCACTAGTGTGTGTTTTTTTTTATAATGTGGTCTTTTGAACAAGGCTAATACAATTCTCAGCATGTTTTTAATTATAAAAACACCACTGGGCTTAGTAAATTTGGATCAATTGATTGACACATTGAGGGGTCTATGTATTTATTATACCCCAAGTTATTCTATGTGGCTTTGCCCTTGGATTTAAAAAAATATGTATTGTGCTGTTTCAATTCAACAAATATTTACTATTTATGCATAATGAGGCTCAGTATTTGGAGAGGATTTACAGAGAAACAAGATTAAACCTCTGACATGTAGAAGTTTACAATTTCTAGGAAAGATGCAATATATGCAAAGATATATCAAAGATATATACTATATATAAAAAGATATATGTAAAGATATATAAAAGATATATGCAAAGATATATACTATATCTCAAATATATTATACTGAAATGTCAACTTTGGTATTTCCTTTCTGTTCTTCTTTGTATTTGATCATTTTTTACTCAGTTAGAAGCATCCAAAAAAATAATTCTCACAGAACTAGGATTTTTAAAACAGACAGAAATAAAAAAAAGCCTTGATTTTTTGTTTTATTTTTAACTTCAAAATAAGCTCTTTAAGCCCACATCAGACACAGTAATTGAAAGGCAAAGCTTTTGATTTATAAGAGAAAATGTTTGGCTGTGGTTCTTGAGGATAAAAAGAGTAGATTTTGAGAGAAGTGAAATAGCCTTTAATGCTTCAGTAGTGATCTGGATAAAGAATAAGAACTCAGGAGAGATAAACACAGGCTGATGGTCACCCAGGCTAGGTAGAGTATGGGGCTGATCCTCATGGGATTTGGGGGACAGCCAGAAAACTGGGCATATTACCCAAGAGAACAAGGGGGAGGAGAATGGAGTCAGCCTTGAGACTCCATAACTTCCTCTTTTACCAGCAACAGGGGAAAAGGGAAACCTCTCTAAAAGCCGTGGGGTGTCCTATTTGCCTCCACTGAGGATGCCCTTGCTATTCTTCTCATTGCTGATGACTTGTTTTGTATTGCCTAGTGAAGATTTCCTTACACATGGATGAAGGCATGCTGCTGGGGTCCCAAGGACTTTCCATGCCTTTCTAAACTGACCCATATGGACCCCTTTCTCTATAGTGGTACTATACACACAGGGGCTCCCCAAGAGAAGGAAGAGGACTTGAAATGCAGCATGCAGTTTATGTGTGGAAAGGAAGTCTAAATGCTTGTGCTTAGATGAAATGAGACAGTGGAGAAGTCTATGACAACAGTGTGATAAATGCTGTGAGAGAGACTGAACAAGCATAACGTGCTCTGGGAGAGAAGAGATGGTATTTCATAAGGAAGAATGAAGGAAGGCTAAGTATCTGAACTTGGCTGTCAAAAGTGTCGGCAGAAGGAGTTAGGAGCAAGGGCTTGGATGACACATGGCAGGGCTACAGCTGAGAAGAAAGCCAGGAAATAAGGTTGAGCACCTTCCTGGGGAAGATTGAGCTGCTCACATTTTACTTGTTTCCTACAAATTCATGATCTCATTCCATGTAACTTGGAAAGGATAAGAACAGATTTTCAGAATATATTAATGGAAGAACAGGAATATGTATTTACTAAGCATCAATCAGTTGCCAAGTACCATTCTGGACACTTTATACATATTATCATATTAAATCTTATGACTGAGGCACTCTGATTTTCTTAATCTTGCCACTGAAGAAACTGAGAGCCAGAGAGGCAAATAACTTGTGCAAGAACATTCAGTAGTTAAATGGCAGTATGGATGTCATGTTTTAGATCTAGAATGCTCCGCAAGAGTCTCATGGGTTCCAAGGAGGGCTTTTTGGATCCTGGAGATGCTGCACTCACCAGTGGGTGGATTCATGAAAGAGTTCATAGTTAAGTATGTCTGGCTGAAGGAGGTGGGCCAGTGGAGGGTGCATCTCCCTCCTCAGCTCTTCCTTTCTCTCTCTGCTTCCTGGCTGCCATGAGGTGAGCAGATTTCCTCTTCCATGCCCTTCTGTTCTGATGCTTCCACCTTAGAGCCAGCTGAGTATGGCTGACTCCCCTGAACTGTGAGCCATGTTAAACCTCTCCTTTAAGCTGTGGGTGTCAGGTATTGTGTCCCAGCAATGGGACAGCTGACTGGCAGAGCTGATATTCAAACCCAGCCATTTCTGCTCTCCAATTCATGGTGTTTCCCAGATGACTTAATGAAAGAAAGCTAAGTATGTGAAAGTGTTATCAAAATAAAATAAGTCAGGTACAGAAAGACAAACATTGCAGGATCTCACTCATATGTGGAATCTAAAACAGTCAGCCTCATAGAAGTAGAGTAGAATAAAGGCTACTAGCAGCTGGAAAGGACAGGGCAAGGAGAATTTTGGAGATGCTAGTCAGTGGTTACCAAGTGACAGTTATCTAGGAGGAATGACTTCTGGTGTTCTATTGCACAGTAGGGTAACTACTGACTACCTCAAAATAGTTATAAGGAAATTTTGAACGTTTCATTGCAGAGGAATTATAAACTTTGAGGTTATGGATATACTGATTTCTCCAGTTTGATCATTACACAGTGTATACACAGATGGAAATATATTGTACTCCATCAGTCTGTGCAATTATTATGTGTCAATTAACAAAATACAAACAATTTTGAAAGGCATAGTAGTTTTGTTGTTGTGATTTAGATCTCCAACGTCATCCAAAAGCCTCATGTACTCAGGGCTGGGCTTTTGGAAGGTGGTAGGATCGTGGAGTGCTTTATTCACAGGTGGATCAAGCCACCGAAGAGTGCAGAGCTGGAAGTGTGCTGTGAAGAGGTGGCGCAGGAGAGTGTGGCGTGGAAGGACGTTCACCCACCTTGCCCTCTTTTCTGTTTCCTGATGCCGTGATGTGAGCATCTGTCCTCCACCCAGCCCCTTCCACCGTGCTGTTTCTGCCTTGGAGCCAGCTGACAAGGGCTGCAGCTGTGGGCCAAAGTGGACCTCTCCTCCCCTAAGTTGGGTTGGCCTGTTTTGTCTCAGCAGGGAGGAAAGTAACTATGACCTTATCTCACCAGAAACAATATGGATTTAAAAGATCATGATTATGAGTTCAGTATTTTAATTTTTTATACTTTCTTTGTATTTGAACCTTTTTCAATTCAACATGGACTGAACACTGGTTCCAGACCCGTTGTGATCCTAGTTCTGGCCAAGCACCACGCATAGTAGGCATAAAAGAGATCCAATCAGGGAACAGTCGCTCCCTCTTGTCTGTGGTTTTGCTTTCTGCAGGTTCAGTCAGCTGTGGTCCAAAACTACTGAGTAGAAAACTCCAAAAGTGAATAATTCGTAAGTTTTAACCTGCCTTCAATTTGGAAGAGTGTGACAGCGTCTTACACCATCCTGTTCCATTCCTCCCAGAACGTGAGTCCTGCCTCTGGCCAGCCTCGTCAGGCTGCGCTCGCCATCCGCCTGCTCCTCAGAGCCAGAGCCGGCTGGTGTCAGGGGGTTGTCGCCATACTGCCTGCTTGCCTTCAAGTCCCCTCCCCACCCCGCGGAGGGGCCTAACTCTACTCTACAGTGCCCACAGCGCTCACTACACTGCCCTCCTTATTCGAGCACTGTGTCCTCTCAAGCCATCAGACAAGACGGGTAAATACAGCACCTTGAGGTAGTTTGAGGGCGGTGGAGGGAGAGACCACATTCAACTCACTTTTATTACACTACATTGCTAAAATTGTTCCAGTTTAAGTGGCTGTTGTAAATCTCTTAGTTTACCTAATTTATTACTTTATTTATTTAATAGCTTAATTCCTAATTTTTATTAGTACATGTTTGCAGTACATCAACATTCCTTGTGGGGAGTTGGTACGTGTACATAACACATCTTAGTTCTGTTTTCATCTCTTTCTCCCGCCCTCTCTTCTCTCTCCTTCCACCTCTTGGTCCCCTTCTGTTTTGCAAAAGATCGACACTCTATTTTCCTGTTTTATATATTCTACATTCCTATTATCTATCTTTTATTTTGCCTTTTAATTTATTTATACTGCAGTATTCTCAGATAAATGAAACCATGTGACATTTAAGCTCATGTGTCTGATTTATTTCACTTAATATTATGGTCTCAAGGTGCATCCATTTACCTGAAAAGTGATTCAGATTTATCCTATGGCAGAGTAGTCATCTAACTTCATTGTAGGTTTATATGTAGATGGAGAAATCATGGTAAAGACAGGGCTCAGTACCATCCACAGCATCAGGCTGTGGTCTTGGAGTGTTTCTGCCAAGGATACAGGACTGTTGTATTTGCTTTGGAAAAATGATGGGCTTTTAATGAAGTAAAAGCACACATAAGAGGACAAGGAGATCAACGTGGTCATGCATTAACAGAGTAAAATAAGCCAAAGCCTGGTAGGGAGTCAGGGGAGGAAAACCTGCCTGCGGGTCAGGGCAGAGAGGCTGCATTGAAGCCCCAGCTCTGAACTGGATCTTGAAATATGGACTCAGCTTCCGGAGTTGATTTGTGGCTTTATCTTTTGAGAACAGGAAAATACTGTGGCTCCTGCCAGTACTTTGACCTGAATTTCTTATAAACAGAAGGACCAGAGCAGGCTGTGAAAGAAAGACCCTGGAAGTTCCAAAACACCAAGTTTGAATCCTGGCTCTGCTACTTAATAGCTAAATGTGCACAGATGAGCTAATTTCTTCACATCTTGATCTTTACGTGGAACCAATGGTACCCACAAGGGTAAG